AAAATAACCATCAGCACCTTCACCATCCATTTACAAATTACATTTTGTATGTGTTATTGAGATGATAATTATGTCCTGTGACCAAACCAGAATGTCGGCTCTGTGTCTTGGTGTATTACATTCTTACTGTATGTTTTTGGCTTCTTCTCTCTGATGACACATTTACGTTACACACACTTGCAGTTGCCCAGCAGCCCTAAAGTCAGGGTGCGTGCAGTGCACAGTGTATTGACTGTTGTCTGACAATTAAGATTCTGTTGTGAGACAAACTGACAATGTACTGTTGATGACTTCTGAACTGCACCACTGAAGCACGGTGCAATAATGTGCAGTTGTCTCTGAGCTGCTGCTACACTGACTCAAGTGATGTAGGAGACATTTCCCCAAAGAAACAATGGATACTGCTGGGATCTATTTATCTATCCATCCATCTAGCCATCTATCTATCCATCCATCTATCCATCCATCCATCCATCCATCCTTCTGTCATTATGCATCCGTCCACCTGTCTATCATTTATCCACCATCAATCCCTCCCTATCTCTCTCCCTCTATCCTAAGTTCAAATACTAACTCCCTCTCCCTCCCTCCCCACTCTCCCTCTGCTTCATTTCGACGTAAACATTAATGCCTTAATGCAGCCCTGTCCCCCAGTAAAAGCCATTCATCTGCTCCCTAAATAATGTCCTTTTATAATGCATGGCGGCAGACAATAAACTCAGAAATGATTTGTGCTTTTACAAAAACACATCAGGCATAAACCATCGCGCCGGTAATAAATTGATGCTGATCTGGCGCTAGTGGAGAAGCAGCCAAATGCCAGGAGACTTTTATTTATTTATATCTTTTTCCTCCTCTTATCAGTGGATCCTCAGCAGTGTGATCGATCTGGGTGCAAAGCCTTTTGTTCTCTGAAGTAATAAAACAGAATATTGATTTATCGGTGGCCGACAGTTATATTTTGCCTCCTCCTTCTCTTGCTCCTCTGTTTCTTTTCATTGTCAGCTCCCCCGGGGAGAAAAGTTTGGAAAACCTAAGCCCTCCCCTTCCCCACAATACACTGCACATCCAAAGTGACTCTGAGACTCCGGCTCTCTGTGAAAAAAAACAATGCAGGGTTGTATTGATTTGTACGGGTCGATGGTTTTTCTCGCGCATGTATTGGTCAGAACTCGGGGCTTTATCATTGTATACAAATATGTTTGTTGATTTTCTGATATCCACTCAGGGATGAATGGTCTCCTGAAGGTGGCGAAATATGCGGGGCAGCAACATCAATAACAGGACCTATTAATACTTCTATTGATGTTTCTCCATAAGTTGATTCTGGGCACTGTTGGATGCAGAGATTAGCAGAGAGTCTGAGAGGAGAAGTTTGGTTTGTCTCACCACTGAAGGCCAGTGATTTTTATTTAAGCAGGGATTTGTTTCTCATTGGAATGATGTCAGAGCTTTTGGAACGGTCCCTCGTTGTAAGGTTGCCAGAGGTTGCTGTTGTTTCATTAGCTGCAACACAATTGTTCTGCTTGATGTTGAAATCTACTACCACTCATATTTAAAGGCTTATGTAATTGCAATTTAGTGCAAAGACTTTGCCCTTGACCCAATATAATAATAAAGAACCTTATGTTGAACACCTTCATTAACGTGTTGAATGTTATGTTAAAATTCTCTCCGTTTTTGGAATTGTGGAATCACATGCTGCCACCTCCCATTATCATCATCATTTACCTACCTGGTTACATTAAGGTTCAGCAAATCAGTTGGAGTTCGATCCAGACTGTTGCGTTTCTTTTTTTTCTTTTTTCTTTCATTACAATGTGTTTCTATTTGATTTGTGTTTCCTGTGGCTCTAATTTCACGTTGTTCAGATCTGGATTCTAAAATCAACATAAATATAAAATGTTATTTTGTTAGAGTGTCCGGCCCCCAAGGTGTAGAGCCCTGATTTTAGGGAATTAATGTGTTTTAATTCTCATGTGCAAACATTCATCAACACACTGCAGTGTCATCAACATATAAGGTCAACACCTTATATACTGTATAAGGTAGCTTGTCGTTCACACTCCAAATTATCACATATCAGATCAGATCATCCGCCATGAATCAGCATTTTGGCTGAATTTAGTTCCTCAAAAGCCATTGGTTAAATCTGATGCAAATCATATTTTAGAAATTAAAAAAAAAATTAAAAAATACATAGTCAGTACTCTGAGAGGATACAGGTGGATGTGATGATGGGCAGTTATGCAAGTCGATATTCATCTTGAACCCTGTTAACATCTATGAATATATCTGAGCTTCAGTGGGAATAAAAAAAATGGTAAAAGCTTTTTGAGCTTTTTGAATGTTAGTCTAGTGAACTTAAACAAACTCCAAAGTGAAACTAAAGTAGCTTCACCATCACAGTTGGACTTGTTGTCTATCATTCTGCCAGACCTGCTCTTTTCAAGCTGACGTGAAGCACTTGTCTCCACCACATAACTGACAGGGCTGCATCCTGGAAAAAAAAAAGATGACAATCTGACATTTGGTAATAAATTTCACTGCTCACATCCCGTCAGACATGTGTCATTTATGAACGGTGCTCGTTTAACGTCGCCTCTGACGTGAGACGGAGTAGACTGGGTTGAGCAGACCTTAAATTGAGGTGATGAGTGTTAACATTTAGAAGTGCTTGACGTTTTATGCTCTGAGGAGCCATTAAGGTACATGCAGTAATCTGTTCACATACACTGCAGGTAGAGCCATGTTTCTGTGATGCACAAACAGGATCTATTTTTTTACAGTATATTCTACCAAAGACGAAGAAGAAGTCTAGGGAGAAAATACATCAAACTGTGCTTGTTAAACTACTTTCTTTGACTTCTGATCCCTCTTGTGGGACTTGATTAAAAAAACAACAATGAGATTATCTGGGGACACAAATTCATGGGTAATTGTAAAAGCCATGGTTTTGGGGCAACCTGTGGTGTAGTGATCAAAGGAACAGGCTCGACAGCAAAGGGGTGCACATTTCGAATCCCCCCTGAAAGCCTATTGGTGCAAGTTCAACTTTCATTGTCTGACCGGTAATGCTGATTGTTATTCTCTAAGAATTCCTCCGACAGTTGCCATTTAGGACTAGATCCTCCCTCATTCTGCATAATCTATGATAAATAAGTCCCGACCGCGCTGAAAATCTTTTCATCTCTAAATGAAGCCAAATCAAATGCTCAGACTTACACAATCAGAAGTAAATGATGGAGGGGAAAATGAATTCCAGCAGACCTCTTATCTTTGCTCTATTAATTTCTTGAGGAGGCAGGACATGCCTATAAATAGCAGTCGTTTTGGGGTTGTATAACCCATCGCCTGCTTGATTTGATTGACTAACTGGGCCAGTGTGACATTCATCAGCACTGAGACTCCAGGCCTTGTGCTATAAAAAGGTGAAAATACTTTAACTTTGAAGTTTAAATAGACTTCCCAAATGGGAGGTTGTTTATAGTGGAGAATTGTGGCATTTGAGGAGTGTCACACCAGCAGACAGACCCCAGAAGGCCTTCACTGACTAACAACCATTGCTCCATTTAGGGTGGCACTCCCTCCCCTAGCCCCTCTACTTTTTTTTAAGGTATATTTGTTAAAAAAGAGAGAGTAAGACGGGGAAGCTCATTCTGCCTTTCTTCTCATCCCAACAGATACTGGGACACACTTAGAGAGAGAGAGAGAGAGAGAGAAAGAGAGAGAGAGAGGGGAGGAGGGAGGGAGAGGGACAGAGAAGGAGTCTGTAAAGAACGGTTTAATAACAGTTTGTTGAACTGAACACTTCAACGACCCTGGAAAGTGCTGTGTACTTCCTGGGTCTAATTGGTGTTTGTGCCATCACCTTGTCTAAACCGGCCATGCGGTGGAGGCAGTACGTCAGGAGCACAATAGCAGCAGCACCAGCTGTCTTTTGTCAGTATCTGCATGAGATCTATTCAGCCTCAGTACAGCTGTGCTCTCAGAGCCATGAGGTCTAGTGCACAGACAGTGCTTTGTGTGTGTGAGTGTGTTTGTGTGCATGCAGTAAGGAGAGCAACGGATGTGTTGACAAAAGCTCACGGTCAAAATTACACACTTGATGTCCGGTGTGATGCAGCCTGCTGCAATGGTTAAAATGCAAACAAATCCTTGGAGAATAATATGGGGAAGCAGCAGAGAACGGCCTGGAAGAGTGTCTTCTAGTACAGTTTTTCTGCTTCTTTGCTTCTTTCTTACACCTGAAACACCTGATACCCACCAGGGGAACTGCTGTTGCCAGGTGGGGCCATCAGAATGCAATCAGAGGCCTCCCTGATCTATTCTTTAGTTTGACTCTTGGTCGGAGGTCATTCCACTAGATCCAGGAGCCTGAAACCCACTGCAGTGTCTGCTAAATGCATAAATGTAAATATTGTATCTCTTATGATACAGCAGAAAAGGTACAAGGGATCAGTGAACCCTGCAGACCTTTTTTTTTTTTAACGGTACTTGTAAAAATTATGTAAATACTTGTATCACCAGACTCACATACTCAAATATGGCCCTGAGGTCACCACTCAACACTGACCTGGACTCCGTTTATGTACTACAGCACACCTTCTCTGCTCTTTGCACCTCACCGCCTTTTATTTTGTACATCATTTATTCGGCGTGGAAAGAAAAGAAGACTTTAGGAAGCACATTGTTAGTTATGTTACATTCTGTAAGAGCAGAACGATTAGATGTGTTCTTGTTGTTTGTAGAAGAGTTGAATAAATTATTTTTTTTATTATTAATGCTTTCTGTCAGAATAAGGCTTGAAAACCCTCTTCGTCGTAGGTCGTAGATGAATGAATGGAATAAATTCTTGAAATATTATCCGCAGTATCTTGTTTCGTCAAATAGACTGGACTCTAATACTAAAACACCCTAATGCACTGCACACAGTGTTTCTGTGAAAAAAGTCACACAGTTTCTATACAGACGCCATTAAATAATCTCCACAGCAAGAACCTGTGATAAGATGATGTTTTAATATCAATTTTATCTACAAAACCTTGACTGACACCACTGTAATCTGGTCTTCATGGAAAGTGCACTGTTACAGAAGCAAAGGAACATATAAAAATTACAAACAAACAGAGCAATATCTTTTTTTTTTTTGTTACCATAAAATTTCCAATGATTGCCAATAGGCCTTTTGTACTTACAATATAAATCATATGGAATCATGATGGCTGGTCCATATACTGTGGTGTCTGGAGTTCTACTGCAGTATTCTTTTGCCAAAGAGATTGTTCGTGAGGAACAGTTGTGCATTTCCCTGATCCTCCGCCTTATTTTCAGATCATAGCACTGAAGTTAGTCACAACAAAACAAGACCGAATAATCAGAAGGGTACATTCTTCAGCTGTCCACTGTTGGCGCTGTTCTGATTGACCGTACAGTGTATACAGACAGAACACAGTTTTTTGAACACCCTGTTGTTACAGTTTGTCCCTCGTGAGTGTTTTCAGTACAATTGTCTCATCAAGCAGCTGTTAACTGCACAGCTTGGTGGTCTCGTATTCCACTGAATTGGGCAGGCGTGAGCTAAAGGCCTGTAAGGAGGCGTGAATGCGAACCACATCATTTGCAGTCAGTTTCAGGCGATGCCGGAGAAGACAGGCAAACAAATCCAACCTCTGCTGACCTGGAGGTGACAGTCGGTTCACCCTGTCCCTTATCTCCAGCAGCTGAAGGATAGCCGTGTCCTGGGAACCCTGCGTGTATGGGTAGTCCAGCTGCAGTATCAAGTCACGGATTGCCTCGGGGTCAAAGTGCATGCTGTAGCCAAAGACCTGGATGCTGTTGATTTTCATGTAGCCCAGGTTCCGGGAAGGTTCTGTCATTTCCATAGGTTCGTAATAAACACTGTCGTTCACTCCGTCTTGAGATTTAATCCTGCTCCGGAGGTAAACATGGATAGTTTCAAAGAACGTCTTCCACTTGTTGCCCAGTGTGAGAGTCCAGTTATAGCACTCGAAGGGTAGGTCCAGTTTGGTGGCCTGCCAGTCTGGAAAACTGTTCTCATTGACAGGGATGTACCAACTCTCGGAATGACTGCCTCCAAAGGGGTTGATATAGAGAGTGAGGGCCGGCTCCAGGGTGCTGTTCTTTGTAAGGCAGATCTGCAGGGATATTCCGAGAAGCATGTGGACCATGTTGGATTTGTACTTGTTACTTTTCAGCGTCAGCAACATTCTCTTCCTCCACGATGGGTCAAACCAGCTGTTGAGTCGCATGTCATTGCTGATGAAGATGGCGTGAACCTGTGAATGAGAAAATCATGAGTTTTCTAGGAAATCTATGTGTGGCTTGAGATGTTAAGTTCACTGCAATCGCAACGATCACTGGGGATACCAACAAAACACTTTTGCTGCTGCTATTGTCGTGTTGACTTCTTGATTCTACTGGCTGGTTTCTATATACATGGCACTCACAGTAACATGCTCACCCTGAACACCTCACTTCCTTCTCTCTGCTCTATTTTGTGGCACACGCATCTCTTTAAGTTTAGGATTCTCCCCAGACTACAGCTGAAAAACGTAGTTTAATCTTAAGCTTTTGTCCCGTCTTAGTGAGGTCAACAAGCACTACCTCCAGCCTGCGGTCAGCTCTCTGCAGGAGGTAGCCCAGCTCCAGGTCCTGCAGGTCGGTCTCAAAACCCAGGTAGCTCTCGGTGGAGTCTGCCACCATGGCCTTGCAGCCACCTTGAGTCAGGGTGAAACCTGGGTTGCAGCTGCCACAGCGGGTGTGGTTGTCGGGGGCACATACTGCACACGCTGAACCTTCTCCGATGGTGCAGGGCGGAGGAAGATGACAGGAAGTGTGTTCATATCGGCAAATGCAGCTGTGGAGCTCCTCGGAGAAGGTGCCCAGCTGGTTGTTTTCCGAACAGTACAGAAGAGACTGGAAATGACTCAGCCAGTAGGACTGTGGCCTGGATGAAAGAAAGAGAGAATGAATATGAGATTATTCTACATTGGGCTTTTAGCTTTAATTGGAAGCTCGATATTGCTCGGAGCACCTGTCTGGCTCTGCAGACAGCTTGCTCTTTAAAACACAAAGAACATTCAGCATAATATAAAACAGGCTAAAAGTGCTGCGAGACTTCAAGGTAAATATCACGAGTGACATTTTTAAATGTCTGACTTTTTCAATTTAACTGGACACTTTTGACTTTTTATACAGGAGAAATCAACATGGTGGATAAATTACTTAAAGAGACATGCTTAGTTCAAAGACATGCATTAATGACTAATTTTTTAGTGTTGTTAATTTTTTTTCTTGAGGTTTCCACATATCACTGTCCTAAATCCCATTAAATGCATTACATTTATATTGTAATTTAATTTAAACTAAAATTCTGGAGTTTTAAAGCGATAGCTGTGAATGTGGGTCTTTCAAACAGTCCCAGGTTGCTGAAGAGAATAATTTAGAGACCGACTTTAAAATTTATATAAGCTAGGGAAATTGATGTAAGTGATCCAGGATCTATTTCCAGATATATCCATTGTTTGCTGCCTGTGGGTAACAGCACTTCATCTCGTTCAGCTTCAGCCGCCTGCTAAGACAGAATTGCTGGTGTGCTGTTAGTTCCCCAGTGTTATTTTTGTACAACCTTCCTGCACCTCGCAAGTCTTCTACTAAAATCACAGCTGTAAATCACGGTACATTCGCCGGCTCGTGTTAAAGGAGAAAATACCAGTGTTTCTGACTCTGAAGGTGATGAACTTTACTGCATTTATTTACTTATTTATTTCCTTCAGAACATAGAAATCAAACCATGCGTCCTCAAAAAAACACTGCAGTGTAGCCTTCATTACACAATTAATTAATTTTATTTTTTACATTTTTGCATGTTTTGAACACAGAGAGGTGAATAATTTGGTGTCAGTAAACTGCAAAGGCTGCACACTGAAATATCGCAATATTTCAATTTATCGATATAAATTATTATACAGCAGTATTGTTTTTTTATTAACAATTATGCAAATATTCATGGTGATGGTTCATGTTATTTATCTTATATTTCTGCTCTAGAGATTACAAATGTTGAGCCCACTGTTCCCATTTTGGTAACCCTACATTTAGTTGGAACAGTGCTGTGTTCACTATGCTGACAGTTTTCCTACAATTATATTGTTTAGAAAAAATTAACTCAATATATTGCCGTGCTGTATTATCGAAATATATCGTATAGTTGCCCCTGTATTGTGTTATGTATCGCCAGATTCTTGCCAATACGCACCCCTAACATGGTCAGAACGATATTTGTTCCTAGCCATATCTGACTCGAAAAGAGTACTTTTCATTCAATTCTATTATTTTATTTTCCTCAATTTAATGACATCAGTTAGTCCAAACACACTCCCACATCTAACATTCTATTGATAAAGACTTAATACTTAAACTGTAAATTAAACGCCTGTTATGTCAAAGGGAACATTTTAAAATGGTTTTTAAATTTCTACAATTTGAATTTATTTGGTTTCTTCCTCACTGTATGCTGAATATTTTTCCAGAAATAACTAAACAATGAGGATATTGTAATTTCTAAGGTTTAAGAACAAACACGTTCAAGAACAATGCCGACAACAATTAATAAAATAAATACATAAACCAATAAAGGCAATGGAAAATCCTTATGTGTCTGTCAGATCCATGCAGTTATTTATTGTATTTATTAGCCCTGAAGAAACAACTTCCCTTTTTAATATTAAACCAAAGTGTGGGCAAATTTTCTAATCCAATTAATTCAGAAATACTGGAAAATGTATCAAGAATGACGGTGTGCATCAGTACGCCAAAAGGCAAATTTTTCAGCACAAAGTGTACGCTGCAGTTGCATCATTACATGCTTCATGAACACCAGGCTGTCTGTCTTATTCATTCATAAATTGTCTCCTTAGAGGAAAAATAGTCGACAAAATCAATCTCATATCTGCCCTCCATCTCAAGTGTCACAAACAGGATGTTAAATGGAGACGGATGCTGTCAGCTCTTTTAAAGTTTTCACTTCCCTCACTGGAAAACTGACAAAATCTCAATCTCAGTTTTTTGAGAATGTGACGAGTTTGAAGGGATTAAAAAAAGGGTTCACGAAACAGTTGATGCTGCAGAAATGACGTTGATAAACACTCCTTGAATGGATGGAATCAAGCTGCTCCCACTCCGTTAACACACATGTGGGTGAGAATTTGTGCTTCAAGGATCAGTGATTAGTGCACGGATTGGCAGTGAGAAAGGGGGGGGGGGGGGGGGGGAGAGAAAGAAAGAAAAGGATTGGACATTGAACAGAGAAACAATGGACGGATTAATCTGCAGGTTGATTTATGTGTTGTGCTCCGTACTGTCAGTGCCATTACGACGACGACTCCGTCAAACGCAGCACACTGTGACTGACAGTGATGGTTAGATTTATTTATCACTTTCAGCAGTTGCTCCCTCGTAGAAATGAAAGTATTCTATGCAAACCTTCCTCTTCCTCGTCTTCTGTTTTCTTCATCCTCCTCCTCTCCTCTTTATGCTAATGCGTCTGCAGGGCAGCTCGTAGCTCTGCGGGAGGTTGCTGAGCCCTTTTGATTTCGAGGGTGACTCAGCCTCTAATTTATCTTTGCGACTGTGTACTTGCGAAACACTTGCAGTAAGCAAGAAAAAAAAGCCCAGTGAAATTTCTGGCAGAAATTGAAAGACACATTTTAGAAAACTTAGAGAGGTGGAGACCAAGTTAAGCGTTGGATAAAATGATGGATGGGTGAAGTGACCAGGGTGTTAGACCTCCATCACCCATTGACTGCTGAGATTGGCTCCAGCTCCCACATGAACGTGAAAAGGAACATATTTTGATGAATGATTACATTGTTGCCATCCTTTGCCATACCAGTGGCCATGTAAGTGGCCTGCTTGTCTTGCATATGACATGGTTGCTTGTTGAAGCTCTTGGTAAATGCTGACTTTGCTTCTCTACTTTCTCCAGGAAAGCATTTAAGTTTCCTGACTCCAAAGTCAGACTGGAGGACCTTTTGGCTGAGATGATGGATGATGGAGTCAGTGTCAGGTTGTCAAAACATAACTGTGAGCCTCAAATTCACGCACACCCACACACCCTACACAGAGCGGACTGACAGCACGTCCTGTTGTTCCTCTCGTCTAACATGTTTATATGGCCATTTTCCTAATTGCAGTTCAGTCGAGACAGAAGTGAAATGTTAAGTGGCAATTATTAAATGAAGTGATTATTTTGTCACAAAGAAACAACATTTAACAGTTTGATGTTACAACTGCCTTCTGTTTATCCACACACTGCCCTGAAGTTTTTATTAACATTAAGTTAAGATTTTTAATTATTTGTACAAAATGTTTATATTTGTGGCTAAGACTAAAAACTAGACACGGCTATTTGATAGTTGCATTACAGCGCTAACAAAAATGCATAAAAAAAAAGTACCAACTGGAAGTCTTTGTGTCCACTAAGGGTCATTTCAAGGATACTCAGGGTAAATGTAACCTTCCACCTACATCCACGTGTTAGTCAGAGGGAATTACTGTGTCTTAGAATACAGTAGCTTTGGGCAAAAGTGTATGTAAGACATTTTACATTCATATATTTTATATACAGTAGTATATGCAGTAGAAATAAGGATACATTTTACAGCAGTGTGTGAATTTAGATGCAGATTAATAGAGCTCTCCTCACCGCTCTCGGGGTAGATGGACCTGGGGGTGTTTGTGACATCTTTTGCTGAGACTGAAGAGCTTAAAGATGACTCTTTGGGCTCGTCGTGAGAGGGCCTGCATGCTGTTCTCCAGCTGCTCGTATCGCCACTGGAATGCGTTGTCCAGGGACCACAAGTGCTGGATGGCAGACGTGTTGAGATAATAGTTCTGCGGCAGCCTTGCATAGAATGCTTTGAATTCATCTGTAGGAGCAACAGAAAGGAGGAGAGAGTTACAACTGATGATTCCATTAAATACAAAACCATGACATCTGTGGCCACTGTGCGTCACACAGCAGGCCCACCGGTAGAAACAAAACCAGCATGTAGTAAAAAGATTGTCTCATTCTTGAGCTGTTTGCTGCTTTGACCAGTGGAGACTTTGACCAGTGCCCTGTGCTAATTTCTGCATTATTTGGTGGTTCTGGGGAGACCGCCCACAGGGTGCAGCATCCAGGGCTATTGAAGGGGTCTCAGAGCCTGCAGGCTGCTGCTTGCTATCTGCTGCTTCTTCCTTCTGGGAGACTGGTACTGTGCCATGTGGCATGACCCTCTGTGGGGGGAAACCCAGCTATGGAAGGCTTCAGGGATAATTAAATGGGTGGGTGGTTAAGCACTCCGAGACAACAACAGCAGGAAGTGGTCAAAAAGAGGAGCCAGGCTACCTTTCTGTTGTCACTGGACTGTTTGGTAGACGGCTGCAGAGAGAAAAGTTATTCATGACATATGCTTCGACTGGGCAGCAGCTACAGACAAATCTAACAAGTGGTCTGTTGCTTTTTCTATTCCAACTCCAAGTGGTGGGAATGTGTCCACCCAACTGTCTCTGAGAAAACAACGCAGCTGATGCACTGGGATCTTAAGAGCTACAAGATGTATTTGAATAAGGCAGAAATTAATTAATTCAATGTCAAATTATACTTCATATTACATAATAGTACTATATTATACATATTATAGTAGAGATTAAAGTTAAAACAGCCGGTTTACTAAATTCTGAATGATTCCGAAACACAAATTTATGAAACCTATGAAATTGGATTTTGGATGATTGAAAAACATCCTGACACTGATCAGCTGTTGACCCACTGGTGTCTTAGTTCAGGTATTTTACCCTCAACACATGGTAATAATGAGACATTTAGTCAGTTTTGTCTCAGTAACCAAACTTTGATTTTCTGCTTCAACGTTGACGTCCTCCAGCCATCTTTAATGGCCCAACTCAATATTAACCTCCCAGTGACGACCACTTGAAACACAACACCTTGACAAGCATCATTTCAGTGCTCCATTAAACAATTGATAGATTCTTATGGGACGTTTGGGAACCCAGAGGCGGTTGCCGTTTCCCACCCCCACGTATAAAAAAGAAAAAGAAAAGAAAAATGCTGCATTTTTCAGTGTGATCCAAAGCGGTCTTAGACCATTGGACAGTCTGTTTCAGTAGTACCTGGACTGGAACACAGCATCCAGCGTGTGGTGCTTTGAAGAACCTCTTCAAATGTTTTGTTTTTATTCAGTAAAGCAAAGATAAAAACCAAAAGCAACCATTTTGTCACTGGGGCAGATTAGTCAGCCTTGGTGTCCAACTGTCCAAAGACAGTGTCCAACGACTGAAAGAGGAAAATGTTTTTTTTTTCCCTTTATGTTAGTTTTTTTAAAGGTTGTATGGGATGACTACGTGTGAAATGATCAAATCTTATTTGATGTGATAATGTGTCAAAATCCCTCAAACTGCGTTGTAAAGGAAAAAGACTAGAGCGTGGGCACCGTGTTACAGGAAGGAAAAAGTTCAGTCAAAACTCTGCAGTCACTAAAATAGCAACAAAATCATCAGTAAGAGCTATAACATAATTACAAATCATTAAAATATGAATTGCTTACTCTGACAGACATGATGAATGCTGCTTTGTTGTTCTATTTAAACGTTTATTTACATAGTTATTTTAACTGCAAAACTTTATTTTAAAGCCAACAGACTTGAATTTTACTTCACCACGTCTCCGTTACACCCTCTGTCGTGCTCATAACTACATGTGATATTAGCTTTTTAATTCTTTATTCATAACCCAACACAATTTATTATCAGCTTAGATTTAACAGCTACAGAAGGAGACAAATTCAGGTGCGCTTGGTCACAAATCTGTGAAGTTTCTGTTTTGAATATAAAATCTTCTGCTTTCAAGTAGTTTTTTTTAATGTTTTTTAATTATTTTTTTTTTTACTTATGTTATTCTGTTCAATTCTTCCCTCCCCGACTTCTTCTGTCCTTTCCTTCAGTGGAAAATCACCTACTGACCTCTTCTTCCGCTGATGAGGCAGCGATGTATAAATTTGGGATATCCCTCGCCTGGGGACACATTTATAAAACTTGCAGATTTCTGCATCCTCGGCCCACTCCTGCCCTCATTACATACCCAGCTATGAAAACACTGAGAGTAATTGCACATGGGATATATCAGCCAGAACAGAGAAGTGGAAAAGAACATCCATTTTCACCTGAGTAATAAGAAGAACGGAGGCAGGGAGACGGGGCACAGCAATAATAAGCAAATATTATGCTAAGGGTTTCATTTCAAACTCTGTTTCCCTGGAGAAATGAAAACCTAACTGCCAATAAATGTGTTTTATGGCTGATTAATCATCTCCTGACATATTGTGAACTACCTAAGATGAAAGCTTTTTTTTTTTAATCTGTTGTGTATCAAAGCAGGGGCACAGCGGGAATAAGGATTTCTCTCAGACCTACTTCAGACCACTCAACTGATAATCAGTCCTCAGATAATTGCTCTCCATTACTGTCAATATTTACACACTATTCATGACAGAACAGATCACGATTGGTCAGTTTTGTCCGGCGTGTTCTTCTCAGTGACAGGATAATAGTGGTCGTATGACTGAATCCCATTTGGACCCCATGAATGGGGAATCATGGATGTCAAGTTGGAGAAGAGAAAAAGTAGAAAAGCATAAAAATGTTCTCAAAACATAGGAAATAACAAAACATTTTCAGGTTTAAGCACTGGAGTAAGGACAGAATTCTAGGAAATTATGGAATGGAAAGAACTGCCAGAGGAAGAAATTCAAGATTTACAGCTCGCCTTTCTGAAACAGATCAAAGTCTAACAGTGTGGAGCAGAACAAAAAATATACTTGAGTATTGAACTTCTAAAAAAACCTTTCCATTCCATTCTTCTATTAAAGGAACAATGACAATGTTATTCCTTACACCAGCCTATGAAAATCCAGATTTAAAATAACCTGCATTGTCTTCCAGCATCAGTAGACTTGTTTCTATTTCTCACCATCCTTTCCATTTCTTTTTCTTGATTTACACCTCTCCTGACGTGCTGTCCTCCATGTGAGGTATGCCCCACACTTTGATAACCACTATCTTAGAGAATGGTGACACATGCTTAAAGTCTGTTTCCCATACTGAAAGTGGAAAAATATTTTTTCCAGTTTAATTTTTGATTTGATTTTTTGATTACACTATACATACAGACAGAAATGGTATTTAAAGCCAACATCATTAAATACCACACAACAAGGCCGTTTGTTTTTTAAACAGGTAGCTCCGCCTCCTAAACGGCTCATCCAATCGTCATGAACCAAGCTTCTGCATACACTGACTGCTAAATGACAGTGTGTGAAGCCTAGCTTCTGTGGAGGTGATCTTTGTTGCATCATTTATCCAATCAGCATTCAGTAAATACTACTGAGCAATTTATTTAACGACTTTTTAGTCAGAAACTCAGGACGCTGAGTTTCCCTTGCTGTCTTAGAGCAATGGCCAGAGATGTTATTTATGTGCATCCACAACTGACACTCTTGTACGGTATCTACAAGGACTGAAGCATATGATAAAATAAAACCCCAAACCAGCCAGACAGTGATTCTGAAGCATCCTCTGAAAGTTATTACAAAAAAACACCTCTCCCCAGAACAGGTGGATTTTCATATATATATTTTTCTTTTCTCACCTGTATATTTAACTTTGCTGCTGAAATCCTTCCACTCTCACTGTGTTCTATATGCAGACAGGATACCAGGGCCCAACACTGACAACGAGCCACTACATATCAAACCATGAGTCATGTGGGCAGAAACATAAATATAGCATCCTCCTCGTGCTCAGTTTTAATGTTGGACATATCGCACTTGAATTCCACCTCACTCCCTCTCTGCGTGAGTGATCGCATGCTTGTTTTTATTGCTTTAATATTTACAGCAGCTGCTGTAAAAGGAAGATCCTCCCTGTTATCTGTTTTTCCTACCTGATTCCTCAAACTCCTTGAACAGAATCCCCCATGTCTCCGTGATCCTCTCCAGGCTCTCCTCCATGGCCTGGATGTCCATATATGGGCAGTTACATTCAGGAAACTTGGGGTCACAGCTGCACCAGCAGTCATTGTCCTTGCAGACAAATTCACCCTCCCCATTGCAGGCAATGTAGCTGAGAGCAGCTTGAACAAAACCTTCCCTCAAATAGTCTGGAAGGATCACTTGGAGGCCTGTCATAAAAAAAAGATAAAAAAAAAGTTGTTTTTAGTACCAAGATCAAACTCTTAACTCGTGAAGTTGACATTGTAGTGGCAGTAAAGTATATGCTGAGCTTGTGGTAAAGGGAGAGTTAAAGGTTTTGTAAGTGAGGGTGCATTTACTGCTTCTGCACAGGGAGCATCGTAGGTGGCAGTAAAAGACAAAAAGTGTCTGAGAAAATGAGAAAAAATTTCAACCGTTTACTCTGTTTCAGAAAAAAAGGTTTTACACAGAAAAATAAAGATTTGTTGCAAAAACCCAAAGTATAGAATTCAAATGGGGTCACTGGAAATGGCTAGAAAACAGTTATGTACACATACTACATAACAACTATTATTTTCTATGAATGTCAAAACAATGCAATTACTAATTAGCAAAATTAATTAGATAACATTTTAAAAGCCTTTTAACTCATGGGTAAAATGACATGCGCTGTACATCCGATAATTCAGCCGTCCATCCACTTATCACTGCTCTGATACACAGTCTAATACACACACACACACAGTGGTTTACACACACTGCAGGGAACAGCCTCAAGCTTAAAATGCCATCTCAACACCCAGCATGCATTTGTGGAGGTTTTAACTTCTGTCTGCCCAGCATGCATTTGTGGAGGTTTTAACTTTAAGTCTGCCAGTGTCAAACCGACTTCACTGAGCACAGGACAGTAAGTAAGTCTAATACTGAGAAAGTCACTGACAGAAATTCCAAATGACTTGCGATCATTAGATCAATTATTACTGTATGTAATAAACAATGACCATACAGAGCTCAATTTTAATTGATTATTTTCCATATTAACATTTCCATCATTTGGTGATTTTATGTTTTGGTCATATTTAGGAATTTTAATTTGTCTTGATTAATCACGATTATTTGTGTTTAATCATGATTATTCGAGATTAATCACGATTAATTGGGATTAATTTACAGCTACTCTGTGATTAAGTCCACTAAAATTTCACAGCCCTAATATGTACATACGCTGTTGACTTGAGCTGTTGTGTTTATTTACTGCAGCTAACTTTTTGTCTTTCTCCGTTGTCCTGGATTGCTTGTCCTACTTTCAAAGAGCACGCTCTCGTCCAAACCGTGCTGCCACTCAGCACAACTGGACCATGCAGAGCTTTGCCCCTCGGTGTGTAACACACTGACCCCTCACTTAAAAAAAATTAAGGCTATTCCTTTAGCTAAAAATATCTGTGTACAGACGGGACTGGAACAATAACTGGGGTAACAAATGAATCCTAAGGAAGTCCTGAGAGACAAATACTAACAATAAAAAAAGAAAGAAAAGAATCAAACAAGTACTCACAACAAAGAGAAAAAGGACAAGAGGAAAAAGAAAATCAAACAGACCTTGCAGCTGTACTTTATTTTCAGGGCTCTGAACCAGCACCGAGCTGACAGAGTCAAGGTTGTCATAGTTACTGCAGCCAAGAGGACCTGTACGAGTCTCCGTCACCTAGGGAGACATCAACATAAAACAAGAAAATATTTATTTCACAGCATGCGTGAGGCTTAGTTTTGCCTCATTTTACATATACTGTATATATAAACAAACAGTGCATTTAAGCAAATGGCTCTTTGTTGCAGAATAGCTTGAATCGGAGCCAAACCTGACGCTGTAGGCTTCCTCTGTCTCTATATTATGATTGTAAATGTGAAATTAACAGCAGCAAACTGGAGGGAAATTTGTTTAAATTCTTCCCTAAATGGTTCCAAGAGTGCCGTGGTGGGCTCATTTTCCACTGGAGTGCTTCATAACGTTTCCCTTTTGGCCACTCGTTGATGGAAGACGTTCCCATTGACCTTTGCTTCAAAGCAGCTCCGGCAAACATCCTTATTTTTCACTTCAGTTGCAAATGAAGTTTTTTTTTGTTTTTTTTTGCACTTTGTTTGCCTTTTCTTTTCTCTGACGAGTCAGTGAGCACCTTTAGCCTACTCATTTTTCTCTCTTTGTGGTTAAGGAACACCATATTTTGTTCAGTGATTTGTCCTGATCAGGCTTGTCAGAGGACAGTTGGTGTAAAAAGACAGATGGCTCAAGCAGGACAATGAGGGTCAGTCCATCAGTTACAACCACAAAGGGCTGGAGGGGCTTGGAAACTCATGAGGCTGGTGCTGACGGAGGTGGGAACTCACTGTCGGTGCCTTTGACTTAAACAAAAAAAAAAGGGAAAATCTCATATGTAAGAATTAAAGGGCTCCACAAGGAGATAAATGAACATATTACAACATATAAGTTTTTTTTTTTGTTTTGTCTTTTTTTTTCCTCATGAGAATTTTTCACACTTGTATATGTGGGACGAAATAAGATCCCAGCTTTTTTTTTACATAATGAATATATGAATACTCCCTCCATATAAGGAATTATTTGATAATACTATATGATATGCTGTATGGTGAAATGTTGACTGATGAGCAGAGCATTACATTTCCTCTTTCCAAAGCAGCTGCTGCTCACAATAGATACATTCTGTTTTAATAAAATATACTTCATACAATGTTATTGGCCACCTGTATCTCATAGCATGTATTAGGGGATAAGTCTGATCTAATAAGTCCAGAGCTTGTGAGGCTTGTGTCCTTATTGAGTGCTATATTGCTTTCATCTCATGTTTTCGTACTTTTTGACTCACTCAAACTGGAGGCTAAGACAGAACTGCAAGAATTTGGGAAACAAAGTGATCTGGATGATTTAGCGTTATCAATTTTTACATTAGTGGCGCTTTGGCCCAGAGGCAATGTCTCTGTCATTGGTGTGGAATCCCAGGGTTCACCTCCTGGGCAAGTTCGAATCCCGGTTAGGGCGGTTGGTACCTTCCAGTGGACTCACCACCCGCAGGAAGGTTTAGGGCGGTTGGTACGGTGCAGTGTGATCTGGGTGGCGACTGCTGCCCCTGCGACCTGGTAACGGATAAGCGGATGAAAATGGATGGATGGATGGATGGAATTTTTACATTAGCCTAAAATTGTGACGTTCCTTTCCCTGTTACAATTTGATCTGTTACTCTTACCAACTAATCTGTTCTGGTTTCTATAGTAATTATTTTACCTATCAAATCCCTAATTCATGGCTAAAGGAGGCGCTAACAACAAATCAAAAACCAAATATATGAATGTATGAGGGAAATGTTGCTCTTTAGGAACCCGCTAATACATGTTGCATTTATCTCTTCTATTGTTAAAAATTTGAAATACTTGAAATACGCCAAAAATGTATTCTCTTATTTAACCATCGTATTTTATATAACCAAACACTGGGCCACATGAAGATGTAGCTGGCCTGCTAATGGACTGCGGGCCATTATTTGAGTACCCTGCTCTCTGCTACTTTACTACTATGTGTTGTTTTTAGATGAGGTTTCTGAATTTTTATCTTCAAACAAAATATTTTTTGTCTCCTTACTCAAATCAATTCACTTGTTCCTTCATGTTTCCAGGCAGTAGAAAACATGGCTCTGGTCATGTGGGGATATTGTTGTTGATTCTGTTGAGGTAATTCTGAAATCATAACAAATGGACCCCCGACCCCCCTTGATTCTCAAATACTGGTGTCATTACTCATTGTACAAACGAGCTCCTTCGATCTCCTCTGTGCCGTGACTTCTTTGTGGAAGCGCACATTTCTGCAGCCAGTCTTTGCAACAACACAACACAAACAACATGAGTGCTGCAGTGTTTTCCTGTGAAATCTGCTTCAATTTTCCCCTTTTACGTGGAGGCAGCTGGTCCTGAGCCTCACTCGCTCTCTATTCCTCCCTCTACTGTTTATTCCTTCACTTGTTTGATTTTCAATTCATACAGAGGACAGCTTGGCTCCATTTGTTCCTCTACTATGTGGGTCAACACACTGTACAAGTCACGCACACGGCGTTCTTTGCATTTTATCCCGACCGGCAGGAAGGGGGGCTACTCCCACCCCCCCCCCCGCACCCATCAGCATCAACAGGAGCTTGCCTTTTGCCTTTGGAGCACGAAAGAACTTCCACCCTGTAGCTGCGACAAAAAGGCTAATTCCCAAGAAAATGAGGCAGACAAAAGGAAGTGCCTTTACACCTCCGATGCAATATGATGTTCTTAGGTGCCAAAGAAACCCCCTGCCTGAACACAATGCACTGTAGTGAGAGAACAGAGCTTTGATATAAGCACAGTGAGTTCGATTCATGTGCGGCGACGGCAGAGAAAGCTGTACTTTTCACAGTGACTGCCTCTATGTTTTGAAGATTGAAGGGTGACATAAGAGCAGGGTCGGCCTCCCCCTCCATCACCTCATTAACCCTACGATACCCAAAGGTGGAAACCTGAAGGCAGGAATCTGACATGAGCAGGAATCATTTATCTTCCCCTTACCGTATGCCGTCGTCATGGATCTTATCCTGGAGTCGATGTGGTAACGGTGGCTGGAGATTATATCTTATCACGACAGGGGAATGAATAGTATCATCATTCACTCCTTTGTTAGGTCCTCTGTTAGAATATCCCTTTGAAATTTCTTGGGAATTGAATATTATAATATATATATATAATAACATTATATCATGTCATATGTTCCTTTTACATATATATGTGTATGTATATAAATGAATATGTATGTATGTATATATATGTATAGATGGCACAATTTTTATTTATTGAAAATAATATGTAATTTTATTTTCTTTCTCATATCTCATATCATAGTAGTAGTTGGTTAATGACCTTCTTTTTGTTTGTTTTTTTGCTGCATTTTATAATTTTAGTAATTTTCACATCATCACAGAAATGTTCCTTTAGTTAGTTATTTTTCTTATATGCAAAATCTGTCCATTTAAATCTTAACTATACATGAATCACTGCAGATAACTTGTTGTATTTGATATATTCTCAGTTCAATTTGACTGTACACAGGATAGAGGTGGAAAATCTTATCTCTCCGGATTTTACCTTTAATCTAAAAAGATTTTCTTGGCATAGTCCTACGCGAGTATCTTCAGATGGCTGTGAGGGGTGAATCTTTAAACCCAGGCATTATGTACTTTTACTGTGTGCTCACCGGCATAAGGTGGAGAACGAGAGGAAGAGAAAAAAGTAGATATATCTATTTTTTGTATGACTCTGAAACTTTTGGAACAGTGTGTCCTTGTGCTGGGGTTACCATCCCTACGGTGAAGAAGGCTGTGAATATTATTCATAAAAAGCATTTGTAACTAATGCAAATATAAATCACAATAAAGAATACAATTAAATATAATGCATTAACAATTAGGCTGCAGACACAATGGAAATTAGCTCTGAGAGCACATGTGATAAAACACAAAGACCAGGGTGAAATTAAAATGTTGCTGCAAAAGAAGACAAAGACTTTCTCTGCTGTCGGCTTTAAGGCTCGTACATTTTTCAATCCATTGTCCTGATGTAGTGAGTTTGACTTGATTTATGGATCGTGAAGAATCAAAGAAGATGCAAAAACCACAGCATCAGTCTTTGGGTGAGCAGCGAAGAAGTGGGCGGTAGAGAGAGTCAAGGATTTTTACCTTGATGGCGGTGGAGGCGATCTGGATGTGGTGCAGTTTGCGAAGGGTGCTCTCCCTGTCGATGAAGTAGGAGGCTGCCAGTTGGTGCAGAGCTTCCAGAGTCACAGTGGAGGAGTTACTGGAGTAGTCGCTCACCTCCGCCTTCTTACTCAATTTCCTCTTGTCCACAAATATCGTTAAGGCCTCCTCTCCTGCACGAAACGTCAACATCAGAAGTTGTTAAAAAGATATACTGCCTTTAATGGTGAGCAGTTACACACTCACAGTCAGCAGCAGCAACACTTCACTGTACCAGTATGGCATTAGAAACTTTAAAGTGCAAATTGCCTGATGAAGTACTTTAAGGTGCCTTTCATTTTCCTTTGTGTGAAACGATCATTACTGAGGTGTTATTACACTGTCATGTCCTGCGAATCATTTCAAAAAAGTTTTCAGAATTTCTTTTTGGTATTTTTATAAAGAAAGACCTATGTAGCCCATTATGTTCCATCCAATTGAAGACTTTGGAGTTAAAGCCAACCCTTTTCTTCAGCACCCCCCTTTGATAAATAAGACTATCATTGATACCCCCCACATTTACACATTCACAAACAGTGCTCCAAAACTCCACTGAACTTTTTTTATTATTATTAAAACTGTTATTCCTGTCACTGGAGGTGCCATTAAGTATGTGGTTCTTCTGGGGCTTAAACCCAGGACCTTCTGCATGTAAGGCAGATGCGTAAGCAAAAATGTAAAAACATTTGTCAGGATGCAACGTCCTTCAGCAACTGTGGAGGGCAAAAGCATGAATGATCCACCCTACTTGGACTCTGATTGGCTAGTTCTCCTTGTCTTTCCTGACTGGATTAATTAGTCCACTTTGTCATCCTCTAAGTAAAAGTAAAATGACTGCTTTCCACCTGTTAATTGCAGGTAACACTGGTGAACACGAGGCCCAACAGGTGGGTGGGTCACATGTTTCAGGCTTGTTAGTTGACCGGGCTGCTAATGTACTATAGCTTCTCTCGCAACATCTTTGAAAACTACCTGACTTGTAGAAGAAGCACAGCTTTACTCTAAAGCAGATATTTGACCTAAAAAGAACAAATCCCATCCTCCATCACTGATCATAGCAATTATCACAAAGGTCCCTGGGCCTCGTTGCAGAGTTTTTTTGCTCCTCGTCTACATGAAAGCGTGGCTCACATTATTCATTGTAATGTAGCGTAAATGCTTCCGGAGCCACCCCCCCCACCCCACCTAGTTCCTTTTCTCCTCTGCTGCTGAAGGGCATCCTCTTAATATCACAATCTATTCATTAATTTCATTAGGTTTGTGTGTTTGGGAACACTGAGGCCGTCCATTCACAACCACACAGGCATATCTCTGGCCACATTCCAAGGCAAACTTCACGTTCTTCTTCTTTCCTTTCTCGTTCCCTCTGCTCATACAGCAAAGTACTGGCCCGCAGCCAGTGTGGGGCTGAATCAGTGCAGGCAGCTGGTTACGGGCTGCATTTTGTGCAGCCACTCACAGTGGCAGCTCTTTTGTAACCCGGGGGTCTCGTCTTAAGTAATTGACAGGTGTTTCTCTGAAGGAGGTAATCCGCTTTGCAAAGTCTGCACAGGCCATTCAGGAAACTTAAATGAGTTTATTATTAATTTATTTTACCCTTCACTCAGAGGACCATTAGAGGCTTTTTCATCCATCACGCTGAACAAAACCCAGAAAGGCATGATTGCGTTTGGCCATGGCGGCGGCGTGTTTACAGTGTGGAACACATATACTGCCGATGCATGTATTCATACATCTCTGAAAAGCAATATCACTGCAGCCGGTGCTGAATTATTCTGCACTCTGGGTGTAATTCACTCACTCAGGAGTGACCAAGGCATTGTGTTGTTGTGGCCCATCTGTTTCCTCCTGCAGCGTACAGACCCAGGGTAAAAATCTTACAGCTTTTATCAACACAAATTGTTTGCTTTACAATAGCCTGTGTCCTCGGGGGCAGAGGCATTTTCTACGAACACCTCCTCTCCCTCCCCCCAAGCTATCCTGTAAGAATACTTAACAGTACATAAAGGAAGAACACAACCTTTAAATCTAATCGTTCTCTGCATAAATTACCAGCTTGTGAAAACACCGACCTAACTTGCATTCTTCAGCAGAATGACTATTGTGCAGAAGGAAAATGGGAGATCAACAACAAAGAAAGTCTTTTCCTGTGATGTCATGCTGATGTTTGAATTAAAAGATTGCTTTGGTCGATCCAAAATCTGATCCAATCTAAAATTGCTACTTGGCACATGAGGCGATTTATAAGACAGAAATATGTTTAATTTAGCTCAGTGTGCAGTTAGTAACCAAATGGCGTGCATTAGGAGTGGGTAAACTCATCGATTCATCGATGCATTGACATTATTTTCCCCCAAATCAATTCAGCAATCTTTGGAATCGATTATAGCCCTGTGTGTTAAAGGAAAACATAAGTTATGTGGAGAACAATGCCCCCTGCTGTACTGTACTACATTAACAAAGGGTTAAAAATGCATCTAAAGTCCTGTCTGACCAATTCCCCCCAAGCAATTTATACAGTCTTTTCAACTACAACACATCTGACCAGAGGGGGCACTGTCATGTTTATTTTTACTGTTGTACACTATATTCATAACTAGTATTATTGTGCTGATTGTGCTTTATTTTGTTTCATTGCCCAAAATGCTATGAGTTATAGCATAGCAATAACCTGGTACTCTAATGAATTATTTTTGTATTTCTACTTAACTACTTTAATTACTGAAGCATTTACATCAATATCCAACTATATTGTGAGATTCTTAACAAAACCCAGTTCTAACCAGTTCTGCATGTGGGTTGATAACAAATTTCTTCTTTACCTCCCAGGGTAGCAGACAGCAGAAAGTGAGTCCCATACTTCCTGATCAGGTTGTCAGTGATCATCTGGGTGGTGGGTCTGCGGCCCAGAAGTCGAATATTCCGGATGAACTCAGAGGTCAAAGGTAAGGGAGACTCCAGAAAATCTCTCCTTTCCACAGCCAGATTATTAACCTTCCATCTGCCAAACTCCCTGCACGTAAACAGAAAAAAGGAAAATATAATTTAACATCACAAAACATAAATATGTTAAAACAAAAGGTCAACGACATCAACAGTCTCTCTTTGACAGAGTGGACCCCAAATGTGATTATTCTTTACAATGGAACGTGGAGAAATCTATGAATAAATTCTTTATTCTGTGTCGCGTCCATGTAAGGAATCCATGGAGCATGTCCACACAGCCTGACCTGATGTGGAAGTGAGCCGTAGTGAGGAAAGGAGGAAATAAGAAAAAGGAAGAAAGCTGGTGTGAGAGAGTGAAAAAAAAAAGAAAATCATTTGAAACAAAGATTGTCACCTGGGAGCAGAATGAGCAGCTTCTTCACAGCTGACAGATGTTTCTCTTTAACAGCCCCATCACGACTGAGACATATGTCCAAATGAATAAAATACAAGGTGTTACACAGGAAAATAACCCCAATGTGCAAATAGGTTGAGAATGTGCTGCTGACTGACAAAAACCTGAGATTACAAACAAATGTCAAGGAGGTGTCGTGGAGACACAGCCGACGATGGCTCTCCATGTTCTCCTCCTGACCTCTAACAACTAACTCCTGACCTCAGCTGTGAGTGCAGACTGTAGGCTGCATTTATATGACTCCCTGGCGCTTCATTGATTATAATGTCTGGCATAGCCAGACCTTCACAACGCTGTGTCAGCACTGGTGAATGTTCTGTCCATTCCCATTATCATTCTTTCTGCTGAAGCAAAAAAGAGAGAGAGAGAAAAAAAGATATTAGCTGCTGTGTACTTTATGAAATTACACACTAGTGTCTTGAATGGGAGGCTCTGGGTACAGTGATACTCCCTGGCATTGGAAGTGTTGGGTGGGTGGACATGGAGGTGCATGTGAAGAGCCAATCATTTTCATTAAAAATATCAAATGATGAATATGCTGAATGAATAGCACATATATTTTTTGTTTCACTAGAACCTGTCAAATCTCAGCTCCAGAGAACTATTCAAAGCTGGGGGCAGAAGAAAAAAGAAAAACAAAAAAAAAACATGCTGCCAATAGCTTTTACCTGAGCCCCAGTCACAGTGTATTATCCCTGGCATGTATGTGATTAACTGGAATAGTAAACACAGTCTATATGAGCAGAAGAGAGTGGCACAAAAGACTGGAAAGAAGATTTAAATTATTTAAAAGAAGAAAACTTCCTCTCTTCCTATCCCCCACGTTCCGGTTTAAGCTGCTGTGAGCTTCTCTATTTTCACGCAGTATCCACATACGTACTGTACAAAATAAAAAGAACCAAAGGATGTGCTCGTTCCCTCGCTGAAGACCGAGCTGGCAACCTGCATGTATTATTCTCACTAATGTTTTCTAAAATGTTCGCCCAAGGCGAACTCTCTTTGCGCTGATATTGCATTTGGTAACACTTCACATACGACGTGTTAACAAAGACGTTGGAATACGAAGAGTTCAAGCTGTTTAACCAGAGATTTCCAAGTCAAGCATTGTTCACAGATCCTTCTGTTCACTTGATCAACTCCACCCTGTGTTGTGTGAATTAATCATGAGCCGCCTTTTGTATTCTGCTGATTTGAAAAGCATTTTTTTTTTTTAAACTTAACACTGCATTGATTCACGTTAGGTTAGAGCAAGAAAGTGTTGACTGCAAAATAAATTAGCATTAGTTCAAAGTAGAGGAGCACATACTCTTAGTGTACTTGTGAAATGTTGTTACTACTGTGGAGTTATAGCAATCAAAACTAAACTATATTTCTACCACAGCGGTCACCATCTGTATCTGTCAAAGGGTCAGAGTGTTTCTGGGCTTTCAGCGCGGGGACTCAAATAAAATAAAAATTCATATTTTCTCTTTGATCCTTACAATTTTTGAATTCAGTCATGGGCCGAATTGGACAGTTTGGCCGACCATATTGAGCCCACCGGCCGCCAGTTGATAATCACTGATGTGCTTTTTTATTACAATAGTAGTACATTTATTGTCATTTCTGTCAAACTCTGTGGATACGTCTTTAGGATGGGTTTGATAAATATCCAATGAACTGTAAGAGAACTGATCCAGTTAGTCCAGTTCCAGTTACTGGTCCAAACACTGGTGCCTGAGCTCAATAAATATACTTAAATATACTATACTATGTATTTAATGATATGTAATGAGCCCTTCGGATATTTTTTTTCTTTTTTTTTTTTTGTCGCAGCATTTATTTCTTTTCTCTTTAAATAGAGACCAGGTGAAACTGTACTGAATACAATGACCAGCAGCAGTTTCATTCAGTGGAATGATCAAGGTCAGAAAAATGAACAGAACGATTAAGTTCCGTTAAAAACAGTGTCTGAAGTATTTCTTTTGAGCCATGAATTCTCTGTGCTTTTAATTTTGCAGCTCATCTCATTTAAAGTAATAACGCAAACCTCAAGTAGACTGTAAAGGTCATAAAGGGCTAGTGTAGTATTATTGGCTGCATTTACAGATGATAAATCACCAATCAGGGGTCACTAGTCAACCCATGTAAATGTGTGCAAGCCAATAGGGATATCATGGAGATATTATGGGATGGCAGCGGGCTATTATGGAACTTGCAGCATCAGCACCATAGTTATTCGTTTAAGGTGGGGAAAATAATGACATTAGAGTTTGTGGCATCTTAAAACCCAACACTATGATAAAAATTAAATATTTGCCTGTGAAAAGGATCTTTGTGGAAGTGGATTTGCAAATGAGAAGGAAACTTCAGAAGATGTTAGCGGGAAAACCACACCTACTGCTCTGTTAGGACGATGTAGTAAAACCTATCCTGGGAGTCGTCCAGGGATATTCACAGTAGCCTTATAATGGACCTCTCTTTGGCAGGTTTTGAATTCTCTCACAAAATAAATGGTTTCTAATCAATAATCTTCTGATTGACCTTGTATACACTGAGGAAAAACAGGAAACAACAGATTTGTATTTGATTGAATGTACAGATGGGTGGATATAAAAAAGTGGCTAAAATATTACAGAAATGGTTTTGTAATTTTTACATTAACACTTTTGGCTCTAGGTATTTTACCTTTCACTTACAGGAAGCAAATCCAAAGCCACTGAAAGCTATAATTCCAGAGCCATTAAACTGCACCATTTCCCTCTGACTTTTATTATCCTTCTTTTCCAACATAGTCTATAACAGACCTTTCATCTTACGGGCTCAGTGGTTAATGCATGGGATAATATTCGGAATCAGACTCCATAATCATGGTTCAAGACTACAAAGTGAAAAATAATCACAGCGTTCGTCGTCAAATCTTCTGGCAGAGAATGAACGTCTTACAGTGATTCTGCTACATCTGTAATAACGTACTAATAAATAAGGCAACAGTGAAGTTCAGTAATAAAGAAGCAATAAAGAGTGTTTTATTCATAATGCTGTTATTAATTAAAGATAATGAAAATGGGATAGAAAAAGCAATGAAGCAATAATTAACCAGTTTCTTTTTTATATTGAATACAGCTTTAATTATAAAATAGAATATTTTACAGTATACTGTATATGTCCAAATGCAGCAGACAATGAAAAAAAATATCTCTAAATCAACCTTTTTGTGTTGTTTTATGATGTAGAGTTTACCAATTTTTAACTTTTAACATTTAAAGCAAGTTACCTCCACCGAGAAAAAAAAGCTGAAAAAAGGGTTGATTTAGACATTTATTTATTTTTATTTTCTGGCGTTAGAGTTCATTGTTGCGCTGACAGAACTAACACTGTGTAAATTTATGTGGAGTGTGACCTCCTGTAATCCAAACGTCGCTCTCTCCGTCTTCACATTGACTGCTGTATTTAGGAGACGTTGAACAACCTTGGCTGCAGATGATGGATGGGTGGAGTTTGGCCTTTTGAAAGGGTATATATCACATTAAACTAGGAGTAATGAGGAACGCTCTCACACCCAGATGTTTGACTGATGCCCCGTGTACATTTTAAAGTGCTGCACTTTAAAAAATTTAAAAGACATGGGTGGCGAAGACTTGCAATGCAATCAGTTTGCGTTTCGGTTGTAAAGACATCAAATGAGACGTTGATGAAAAAAATATTACAGGAAGTGTAGTCAGGGCAGGGAAAGTAAACATAATGATGGTAAATGGATATGTAGTACTCATTGACCTTTTTGCTGACTCTGTAGTATTCAGACAAAGCCTCTGACTAATCTCCCGCTCTGATTCAGCCGGTGTTGCCATTAATCTTCAGCTTATTTCATGCCCTACAAATAAATGACCTCCTCAAAGGGGACACTGCGTCCCCTGAGTTCCACGTTGCATCACCAAGATGCTTGTTGAAAGATGCAGGTTTTTCGTTGAAAAGAAGGGAAACACAGAGAGAGTACGTGGGTCAGTGGGTGGAGGGATACGAGGGGCTGAAAACAGGCTCAGAAAGACTATTCACAAATCCCTCCTGTCGTCCGTTTCTGCAGTTACCGTTGTCTGTGATAAGCCTGCCCTGCCTTATCTCAAATCCTCAATGGGCCAAATGGTTCATCCTGCCGAGAAGAGGAAGAAATGAAATAGGTTTCACCTCAAAGTTGATTTTAGGCGGCGCCACAATCCTCACACCAACCACAACCAAGTCATTATTATTATCAATCCTGTAGCACATTTTCAACAAGGTGCTTCACTCCAACTCTTTGTAAGCAATCACAGTCAAAGTTGGAGGTTCACAGATATCAGAAGAAGCAAATCCCTTTTTTTCAGATATTGAGATTACCATTTTCAGATAGTATTTAAATTCTGAATAAAAAGAGGATTTGTTAGACTGAAGCACTCGTCCTCCATGAAATGTAAAAAGAAACAGATTTTTTTATGTACTTTTCTACTACTTTTCTACTACACCTGATACTTTCCACCCAAGACAAAAGCTGAATACATTGTGGAATGTATGTAATGGAACAGGTTTGACTTTTTCCTTTCCCACTGAATTAATCATTTCACAAGCCCTCTTATCTTCTGGTACTCTGCAGGCGGTCCAAACTCCAAAGTTGGAGCCCACTGGACCATATGTAGCAGAATATCAAGTAGTTAACGCGAGCTCTTTCACCAACTCTGAGACTACCTCGCTGCTTCACTCTTCTGTGTGCAGCTGGCTACGGTTTGTCTTCATCTATCCAGTATATGTAGTGAATACAAACTCAGTTAATACTCTGATGAGGAATGTATTTCTGAGTGGATGAGGAACTTCAACTTTTAATTAATAGGTAAAAAGAAAAGAGGAAGTCCTTTTTTTTTTTAGTGAATAATTTACCATATTTTCTTTGTCTTTGTGACCCACACATAAAAACATACCTTTTCTTTAGCTGCAGAATTAAAGGTTTATATATATATTTATTTTTTGGTGTTAACCGTTGGATTGGTATTAAAATAAGATGTGAAAAATAGTTATTATATTATAAGACAGTGAACCATATTAGAGTCATTTTATTGCACTTTCAGTTTCCTTCAGTTGAATTAGAATATATTGACAAATTATTTAAAGTCAATGTGTTCAGTATTTTGCTAAATGTAAAGAAACACTTGTGAGTTAAAGCTGATGAAATTTTTGACAACGTTTACCGTAGACAGTTGGCTGCATCGGAGTGTCCACATTGTATTAACATTGGAAGCCAATGGATATTTGCTTTATTTTCTAGTAAACACACACGCACATGCGAACACACACGGAGGCGTATGTGTGTGGGTGTGTGCATACACTAC